TGTGTGATCTGCGTGTGTGTGTGTGTGTGTGTGTGTGATCTCTTTCTTACTTTCTTTTTTCGATTTGTTCTTTTTTTTTTCTTTTTTTTGCATCCCAGTTCACTATCATCATCTTCCTCAAACCGCGAACCGTTTTTTTTCTTTCCCGCGCGAAATACCGCAAGTGTCTCCACCTCTTTTGCAGCATGCCCACCTTCGGCCCTCCCTCTCACCAATCACCGGGACTTGAGAATCTTTTCTGTTTTTCCTTCTTTTTTTTTTTCCCCCTTTCGCCGGATATGTCCCATTCTAATCTTCATTCTGTCTGTAGCGTTCCAATTTCTCAACGGATATGTCCCGAAGGACTTCAGGAACTGCTTCGTGTCCCGCTTTGGTACGGATGTGGTGAATGTGATTGGGACCAACTGAGTCCCTACCTGAGTCCCTGGGACAATTTGAGTCCCCACCTGACTCCCTGGGACAATTTGAGTCCCCACCTGACTCCCTGGGACAATTTGAGTCCCTACCTGAGTCCCCGGGAGAATTTGGGTCCCTACATGAGTCCCTGGGACAATCGAGTCCCTAGGACAAACTGAGTCCCTACCTGAGTCCCTGGGACAAACTGAGTCCCCTACCTGAGTCCCCGGGACAATTTGAGTCCCTGGGACAGAGTCCCTACCTGCGTCCCTGGGACAACTGAGTCCCTACCTGAGTCCCTACCTGGATCCCGACCACATTGAGAAACCGAGGACGAAGACAACGCGTGCGAGCGAGATGCAAGGCGCCATGGCGCCATGGCGCCAAGGCGGAGAAGATCCTGAAGTCGTGGGAGGTGATTGATCAGGGGGCCGAAGGTGGTCGGTCAAACTGAGAAAGAGGTGCAGACGCTTGCGTGTGCGCGCTTGGAGATGGTGACAGTCAACAATTATAAAAAATAAATAAATAAATAAAGAAGAAGAAGAAGAAGAGGAAAGTGAGCTGGGAGAGCCGGAGACGGAGATGGCGACAAGGGGGTGCACAGATCCGGGGGCCAAGTCCCACTACCAGCAGGGTTGAGTTTCCTCAACGGCTGAATCTGGACGTGAATGTGGCGATGTGCGGGATTGAGCAAACCCAACGCCATTTTTCTGCACACCTCCACAAACACGTCCACATTCAGCCGTTGAGCAAACTCAACCCTGCTACCGGTAGTGGGACTTGCCCCCGGGAAATGAAGAGAAACATCAGCGAAAACTGAATCCCTGCAACACCCAAAATCCCTATACGAAGTTTAAAAAAAAAAAAAAAAAAAAAAAAATCCCTGTACAAAAAAACAATAGACGTCAACAAACTCTACAGTCCCTCGAAGCTCTCTGGCGACAAACCGCGCACGTCCAGACTCATCCGTTTCGGCCAGCTCACCAACTACAAACCCCGCACATCGCCACATTCACGTCCAGATTGAGTCGTTTCGGCCAGCTCAGCAGCGCCAGCCTCATGTGGGTTTGTAGCTGCCAAGGGATAGAGACAGCATTGAAGAACATGATGTCCTTACAAATATCACACTCCAATTCTCACATTGAAAGCAGATTCAAAAGCAGATTCACCCCATTGCTTCTTTTTTTTTTTTTTTTTTTTATGTTAATCAGGTTAACCAGTTTCTAAAAAAAAAAAAAAAAAAAAAAAAAAAAAAAGATTGTGGTCGGTGAATCTCATAAAAAATTTTAAGCATCATCATCTCTGAGTAACACGGGGCAAGAAAATCATGATCTATAAACAGAGAGATCGCTACATAGATACATAGATAGGTAGATATATAGTTAAATTAATAGATAGATAAATATATCGTCAATATATATCGTCACACAGAGCTGCGTACGGTAAACCGTAGGCGAGAGGGAGGGAGGGAGAAGAGGACAACGATCGAGGGGCTCTGACAAACTGTTTCGTCGGAGTTTCACCGACTGACTCATCAGGAGGCTGAACCATACACAGAGAGAGAGAGAGAGAGAGAGAGAGAGAGAGAGAGAGAGAGAGAGAGAGAGAGAGAGAGAGAGAGAGAATCTCTGCCGTTTTCAGCGCTGAGAGATCTCATCTTCCTTGTCCATTCTTTCCGCTATTGCATTTGCTGCTTGGGTTGCCTTGAACCACAGGAAGCCCGCGGTTGGGAAGCCTGTCAATACGAAAAACCCTAGTATTGGCGCATAAAAAGGGCTATCGGGGGGCACAACACCGAAGACAGGGTTCTTGTTGAAGTACTCGAAGATTGACCCCACGGCGGCTATGGCGACGAGGGAGGAAGCAAGCAGCCACGCCCAGAACGGGACTTCAAAACCTTCATCTGACGATGACCCTTCCCCACCCTCGCTCCGCGCCCAAGGCGGCAACTCCTCACTTCCTGGTTTAAGCCACGCAGGCCCCGCTTCCCCTCCCGCTGGCTTCGTTACCCCTGCCTCTCCGCCACTGACACGTGTCGACGTCTCAGACGTCGTCGTCGTCGCCTCCGTGCCATCCGCTCTCACCTCTACGCCGCCACGTGTCGCAAACTTACCTCGTCGCCCCCTTTCAATTGCGCACCCCCCCCTTTCAATTATTATTAACCTGGTATTTATTATGGCTGTGGCGCCTGAGGGCAAATTGTTACCGCCGCCGCCGCCGCCGCCTTTCGCGCCCTTCTTCCATCGCACACCCCTCGCCGGTTCCAACGACAAGCAATGGACCCCAAACCGCGATGCCGACCCACCATCCGTAACGACACCCAGACCCAGACCCAGACCCAGACCTGAGGAGCTTGGCCGCCTGGCAATCCCGAGCCCTGCTGCTCCACTGCGGTCCCGACTGCCGCTGCTGGCAGCTGCCACGCCGCCGCCGCATGGCGCCACGTGGGCCGGTGGAACTGCAAGGCCTTGCATCGCTACGGCAGAAAAGAATGGCGGACAGGACTCCGCTGCCCAGCCGCCTTCTCGTCGGTCCCCCCCCCAAAACACCGTCGATCAAGGACAAACAGCGGTCCCCTTCTACCGGGGCCCCTTTCTCGTCACCTGATCCCCCTTCTTCAACCCCCTTCTGTTCCTTTACGGTCACCCTTCCTGCCCTGTCCGAACTTTGGTGCACCTGGGGCATGAAGATAGACCCCCTGCGGCCCCTTGACCCCCGCCAGGCCACTGCCAGATGGGGTATTCATGAATCACATTGGCTTCCTCCATAGCCACACCATTTCCGACCCTGGCGCTGGACTGGAGAAATGCTGCCGCTGATTCTAAGCAGATAGGGAGTTCAAATCCCGGTGGAAGAACCTAAGAAGGCCTGACTGATTCCAGCCATTTTGCAGAAATTCGCTGATGGATTGCGTGCAAAATGGCACCCTGGTGCATCCCTACCCGACGCAAAACGGCTGGGAAAGTACAGTACATTCGCCTACCGTCTTCACCCGAAAATAATGCCTCGGCGTTCTATACGAATATAATGCCCAAAGGCCGTTATATAATGCCCGAGCGCTATATTCAGTAAATGGGTGGCAACTTCGATGGGGCCTAAAAAATAAAAAATAAAAAATAAAAAATAAAAATTCTGTAAAACAAATATGTCATTTAGAACGTCACAGCAACCAATGTTTGGTCGAGGGTCACTTCAGAATCCCTTACAAATTCGGAGATAAAAAAAAAAAACAGAAAATCAAACTAAAACATACCCCTTGGAAGTCAAAATCCCTTCCCATCCTCTTTGAACCCATGGATATCTCCCTTTCCCCCCTTTAAAACCCATGTATACTCCCTTCACACGGCTCTCTGCCCATGCAACATTCATTATAACGCCCGGACGTTCTATTCGAATATAATGCCTGGGCGTTCTATTCGAAGGGGCATGAGTAAAAATAAAAATCTGATTTTTTAAGGATAAGTTAAATATAACGCCCAGGCGTTATTTTCGGGTGCAGACGGTAGTCACAGGGAATTCATCCGTTCAAAACGTGGCGCATGCAAGGACTGTTTTGCCTGGATGGATTTCCAGCAAAACAGCAACCAGATATGCCCCGCACGGTGCAGCTGCGGGCACGTAACGTATTAGAAAAAGGTTTGGGAAATGTAGTAATGTTCTATTTTCGGCCCCCCCCCAATGGAGCAGGCCCGGTGTCCAATGCTGTACAACAATAAGGCAAATTCATGAGGGCCCACCACTCTTCATTTTACTTTTTTCAAGATGATTTGTTTCATTGCAGACTCGATCCAGAAGAATTTTCCTAAGAGGAATTCGTAATCCTAAGGCTGCGGTATAGTGGGCGTCGACATCTGTGTCAAAGTGTCGCATTTTTGGTGGCGGCGGACCACAATGCAAGTGGGTTCGTAAGGGGGGGGGGAATTTGGGGGACCGGTCCTTCAAGATATTGTCTACCGCGTGGGCGCGGGAAATGCAACCCTAAGGTAGCTAAGGCAATGAGACTAAGAGCGCGCATAAGAGAGAGAGAGAGAGAGAGAGAGAGAGAGAGAGAGAGAGAGAGAGAGAGAGAGAGAGAGAGAGAGAGAGAGAGAGAGAGAGGGGGGGGGGGGGGGGGCAGAGAGAGAGAGAGAGAGAGAGAGAGAGAGAGAGAGAGAGAGAGAGAGAGAGAGAGAGAGAGAGGTTGGATGGCAAAATTGAAATACGGGTCAAATTGTGGCCGCGATTTATTTCACAGTAGCGTTTTTCTTGGAAAGATCATAACAAAATCTACAACTACTCAAATTTTTTAGTTTTTTCACACATTCTTGTGAGCACAAAAACTCACTGAATTTCGGGTACTTTTTTAGTTGGGCTACACATGGCTGAGTGGCGAACATGGACAATGTGCCGAATCGGTTCAACAATTATTTCGCAGTCTAAATGATTTTTTGAAAATGTTATAATTTTTTTTCTGGAAAGAGTTTACCCTCATCTATGGATTCTCAAAATTTTAATTTTTTCTGCGGGTTCCTCCGAGTAAGAAAAAACCCAAAAGTTGCCTCTTGCAAAACGCATGTTTTGTTTGGAAAGAGTTTACCCTCATCTATGGATTCTAAAAATTTTAATTTTTTCTGCGGGTTCCTCCGAGTAAGAAAAAACCCAAAAGTTGCCTCTTGCAAAACGCATGTTTTGTTGCACCTGACCTTCCTATTTTGAGAAGACAGGCCTCAACGCCTGGGCCTGATGGCCCTTTTGCAGTTCACATGCCCACACTTCTTTTTGGGGTTCACTTCCACCCGAGGACCGGTCCTTCCTTTTTCCAAAAGTCTCGGTTCAACCCGAGTTAGCTGTAGGTAGTCCGCAATTTTGTAAAGGATTGGTCATTCAAATCTCCCCCCCCCTTAACAACCCACTTTGAGTTCTGGTCGCCTGCCGAAATGCGACACCATGACACAGACGCGGAACCCTACTAGACCGCAGCCTTAGGGCTTCGAATTGCGGACTATTTACTACAAGCTCTTGTAGAACCGAGCCTTTTGGAAATAGGAAAAACCAGTCCTCGGGTGGAAACCAACCCCGAAAAAAAATGAGGGCATGTGAAGTGCAAAAAAGGCTCCAGGCCCAAGTTTTGAGAACCATTTTTTCAAAACAGGGAGGTCAGGCGCAACGAAACAGGGGTTTTGCAAGAGACAAATTTGGCGATCTTCTGTGCTCAGAGGAATTCATAGAAACATTTTGGGAATCCATAGATTCGGTAGTGTTCTTTTCGGAAAAAATATCAAAACATTTTCAAAAAATCATTTAGATCACGAAATAATCGTCACGTCGATTCGACACATTTTCTAGTTTTGCCACTCAGCCATGTGTGAGCCAACTGAAAAAGTACTATGAATTTAGTGAGTTTTTGCTCTCAGAAGAATGCGTTAAAAAACTTAAAAATTGGAGTACTCGTAGATTTTGTTATGATCTTTCCAGGAAAAATGATAAATAAATTAAAAAAAATAATTTCAACTGTGACATAGATCGCGGCCGCAATTTGACCTATATGTTAAATTTTTCATTCAGCCTTTTTTTTTTTTTTTTTTTT